TGGAGTTAGAAAACCAAAGGGGAAGAACACACTCAGCACTTCTCAAACTGAAAGAACTAAAGAAAACATCCTCAACTTGAAATACTGAAGAATTCTATGGCAAATTATTGAATGATACAGAAAGCATCAAAAGAAGATGGAAGGAATACACAGAGTCACTGTACCAAAAAGAAATGGATTATGTTCCATTTTGTCAAGAGGTAGCATATGATCAAGGGCCAGTGGTACTGAAGGAAGAAGTCCAAGATGCACTGAAGGCATTGACAAAGAACAAGGCTTCAGGAATTGATGGACTACAAATTGAAATCTTTAAACTGATGTAGGCACTCACTTATCTATGCCAGAAAAGTTGGAAGGTAACTGCCTGGTCAACTGATTGGAAGAGATTCATATTTGTGCCCATTTCAAAGAGAGGTGACTCAATGGAATGCAGTAATCATCAGACTGTGCCATTAATATAATATGCAAGTAAAATTTTGCTAAAGATAATTAAAAAATGGCTGCAAGGGTACATTGACAGGGAACTGCCAGAGGTTCAAGTCATGTTCAAATAAGAACGTGGAATGAGAAATATAATTGCTGATGTCAGATGGACCTTGACTGAAAGCAGAGACTACCAGAAAGATGTTTACCAGTGCTCTATTGACTATGCAAAGGCATTTGACTGTGTGGATCATGACAAACTCTGGACAATTGTGGAGAAAGAGTATTTCTAAACATTTGATTGTGCTCGTGAGGAGCCAGTATGTAGAACAAGAGGCAGTTGTTCAAACAGAACAAAGGGACACTGAATGGTTTAAAATTAGGAAAAGTGTGTGGCAGAGTAGTATTCTTTCACCATACTTATTCAATCTGTACATTGAGCAAATAATCTGAAAACCTGGATTATATGAAGGAAAATGTGGCATCAGGATTGGAGGGAGATTTATTAACAACCAGCAATATGCAGATGATACAACCTTGCTTGCTGAAAGTGAAGGTGACTTGAAATACTTACTGATGAAGATCAAAGACCATAGCGTTCATTGTGGTTGCACCTGCAAAAAAAAACAAAAATCCTTACCATTGGACCAGAAAATAGCATTGTGATTAATGGAGAAAAGATTGAAATTGTCAAAGATTTCATTTTACTTGGATCCACCTTAAATACTCATGGAAGCAGCAGTCAAGAAATCAAATAACTTATTGCATTAGACAAATCTGCTGCCCAAGACCTCTTTTAAGTGTTCCACAGCAAAAATGTCAGTTTGAGGGCTAAGGTGCACCTGACCCAAGACACGGTATTTTCAGTAGCTTCATGTACAGTTGAAAGTTGAACAGTAAGTAAGGAAAACTATTGAAGAATTGATGCATTTGAGTTATGGTGTTGGACAAGAATATTGTAAGTACCAGGGAATGCCAGAAGAACAAACCAATCTGTGTTGGAAGAAGTACAACCGGAATGCTCCTTGGAAGCCAGGATGGCCAGACTTCGGCTCTCATACTTAGGACATATTGTCAGGAGGGACCAGTCCCTGGAGAAGGATATCATATTTGGTAAAGTGGAGGGTCAGCCACAAAGAGGAAGACCCCTGACGAGATGGACTGGCACAGTGGCAACAGCAGTGGGCTCAAGCTTAACAACAATTGTGAGGATGGTGCAGTACTGGGCTGTGTTTTGTTCTATTGTGCATAAGGTTGCAATGAGTCGGAATTGACTCGATGGCACCTAACAACAACAACAAGATAGAGAAACTTGTTAGATATACAGGAGGTATACAGGCATTTGGAGTATGGAGTCTGGGACAGCTAGAGATTTAAGGATTTGGGATCCTTGGGTTTATGGATTCAAAACCATGAAACTGGGTGAGCTGATCTAGGGAATGAGTGTACGTGGAAGAGGGAAGAACATTAAGAAGTGAGCTCTGTGTCACTCCAACATTTCACGGATGAGGAGATGAGGAACTAGGAGACGAGACAGTGAAGTAACAATCAGTAAGGGAAGAAAGACCGGACAGTACAGTGTCCTGAAGTTAAGTGAAGAAAATGTTTCAAGAAGAAAGGAGTGATCAACTGTATCAAATCTTGTTGACAAGTCAAATAAGACGAGGGCTGAGAATTGATTGTTGGAGATCAATGTAAAGATCACTAGTGCCCTTGACAGTTTTGGTCAAGTGGTGTGGGTGAGAGCCTGATTAGAATGGGATAAAGAAAAATGTTCAGAAAGAATTTGAGTTAGCAAGTATAAACAATTCTTTCAAAGTTAAGGTGTCAGATATCATAGTGAAGCTCTCCAAAATCAAAGATAAGGAGACACTTCTGAAAGCAGCCAGGGAAA